CAGCCCCATCCCGGGGGGCGAGCGGAGCATCCGCGGCCCCGCCGGTTTGCCATGTCGCTTTTCCGTTTGAAACGGAATATTTAGGAGAAGGAAAAAACCCAAAACCAAAACCAACCAACCGAAAAAAAAAAAAAAAAGCCTCCGTGTGTAAAGCGCATTTGGCCCAGCCAGCCCGCAGCATGGAACAACGCAGTCACCTGTGATTGTCCCAAAGCCACGGGCACGCAGTTTCCTCCTGAAAAGTGGAAAAATGTTGCTCTCCTCCGCCTCCCTGCTCGCTCACCCACCCTGGGCTCCCCGGCCTGCCACCACCATCCCCACCAGCCGCCCCGTTTCTTTGCTTTTCCTCATAGGTGGAGGACCGTGACTCAGTGGTGAATCTCGGTTTCAAGAGGCCGTACAAGACTTTGCTATTCAGTTTCACCCAACCAGAAAGCAGCTGCGGGAATTTCCCGTCTCCTTCCCACCGCCAGCGCTAGGGATAGCGCTGAATCCTGCCTTTGGAAAGGCTGACGTAGGGCCAAAGCTCAGTCCTGTGCCCAGACTTTGGAACCATGCAAAGTTTTGAAAAAATCTTCACACCCAGAGAAAATGTAAATTCTGCGTTTTGGTTTTTTTTCTTGGGGAGTTTGCCTTGCAAGATGCCGAGTGCAGGGTAAATATTTCAGGCGTCTTTCATCGCCGAACGGCAGCCACTCGGAGGTAACGTTTGGCAGCACGTAACATCTTTCTGGCAATGCGCAGAAGACAAGAGGTGACACTCGGAGGTTAGCGTTTGCTTCGTGGGATAGCCCGGCAGTGGGGGGTTTTAGATCCGCTCTGTTAGGGGTACCTGACCGGTTTTGATCTGCAAAACAAGGGACAGCTGCTCCTGTAATACCTTCTCCCACGTTGTCCCTGCGACGCTGCGGCCAGGTTGGTGAGCAGCTGGGGAGAGACCCGCAGGGAGGCTGGGCTGAACTCCCAGCCCCAGCATGAGGGATCTTTGATCTCTCTCCAGTCGGGTCAGCACCACAGCTGCCGTTCATCCTCCCTGCATTCCTCCCGTCCATTATCCGTCCTGCCTGGCCACAGGTAAATTTAAGGATGCTTTGGCTTTGCTTTTCTTGTGCTCTGGTGCCTGGGGAGCTTTGGAAGCAGACACCGCCGGTGATGCTGCCCCCTCGCCCGCACGCCCCGGAGCAGCCCTTGGACGAGCTTTGCTCTGTCTAGGCCCACTCTAAGATTGCCCAGCCCACAAGAGGGGTCTTACAGCAGGTCAGGGGTGTTTAAAATAATGGAGCAACGCGACAAAACGACTAGGCCAGGGCTGCTCCAGCGTGGGCGAGGGATCTAGCCTTGCCTTCAGTTTCACTGAAGCTGGACCGCTCCCGCCGGGCAGCCAGGCCTGCCTGCACCCTGCTGCCTTTGTTACAGCCTCCGCGGCCTTCACCCGAGCGGTAACGCAGATGCCAAACAAATGAGTCTTCCCAGCCCTCTGCAGGGTTTGGGCTGTTTTATTTTTTTTTTTCCTTGAGTTTCTACCAGCCTCTGCTGAAGCATGTGGCAGCATGTTGTGTTAGTGAACTGATGGGAAGGAAATAAGCTGTCTTTTTCCATGCTCTTGGCTGGGAAACTCTGCAGCTTTTAAACTGTATAGGTGATAATCTCGGGATAATTCCTTAGGCAGGACACGTAATCAGATGTTACATGTTTGCAGCTAATCAGCCAAAGGATTCGCTCTGACATAATATATAAAGCATTGACCCGAACCCGTCAGGCAGCCAAATGGCACCAACCTCTTTCTTGTTCAGTTTTCTAGAAATCATTCTTTTTACTTTTAGTTCTCCTCGCTTATACTTTCTTCTACCTGCATCTTATTCCTCAAATCAAATGAAGAAATCCTTTGGCTGAGAAACTGCTTCATTCTGCTGGCTGGGAGACAGCAGCTCCTTCAGCGCAGCCTGCAGAGCGCACACTTGGGTCAATGGGAGTATGTGCGGAGGAATTTTCATACCAGGAGCTATAGGATTTACTTTATTTCAGTGCCAAATTAACATCAGTACTTTTATCAACACGATTGTATGTCATGATACGTGCAATAGCACCAGCCAGGCTTTGTAACACAGGTCTCTCGCAGCCCTTTGTTCCTAGCTGGGAAAAGACTGTAGTCATCAAAACAAAGGGGAACCATTTTCTCTCCTGGGAACGGATCGCAAAGTTCCCATAAGGCAAAACAAAATTATGCAACGAGGCAAGACAACATCCTGGGCATGTGGAGTCTTGTCATGTGCTCTCAGCACTCACATTCCAGCGGGCAGCCTCGGAGCAGGAGCGCAGCACAAAATGGTGTGAGGCTTCGCCCCAGCTGTGCCGCAGGAAGGAGCGCGATGAGCTCCCCCCCCAGCAGCACCTCTCCTTCCCAAAAGCTGTCTGTGACCCAGAGAGAACCCCCGCCCTCACCAGATATTAGGCAGGACAACTCAAGAAATATCACTGAGGGAAGCAAGCTCTTTCTTTCCGTGGTGCGTGTAACTGAGCGTGGGGAACTGGGCAATGCAACAGAACTGTTTTACAAACGCCACAGTGACTGCGGCTGCTAAAGGCTTTGCTAGTAGGCCTGGCCAAGAGGCAAACGCTGGGGGATAAATCCAGTCTAACTTTTTTGATGAGCCAGGCCTCAAGCTGCTCTGCTGCAGGCAAGCGATCGTCAAGCCAGGGGCTGAAGCATTTACAGAAGGAAGGACTGAGCTTATTCATTGTGTTGCATTCTTATAGGCACAGAGAGAGACAAACAGCATTCCTCAACGCTATTAAATGAAAATACACCTTTTCACTGAATGATAGAAGTCTTCAGCTTCCCAGCAACTCCTCTAGTCCTTCCCATCCACCTCCGTACTTCTGTTATAAAGCCGATGTCCTTTTCTTAATTAAGACTCTTAAGCAAAATTCTGCGTTACCTGGGTATCCTTATGCACAGAAGCACAAAGTTATACCACACTCCTGGAAGTCTGTGTATACACACACACACACTACCGCTGGTGCGTTACTTACAGGTGTGAGTAGATTCAGAACAAACGCTGTTCTTACAGTAGAGTGCGAACTACTGTACTGTTCGGCACTATCAAGTTTTAGACTGATCCTTAACCTGTGCTTTTCCCTGTATGAAACTCTTCTTCCCAAACAATTGAAAATAAATGCTTCAAAAAAAAGTCGGCTTAAACCCTTCTAGGCCTTTGCATTATTGTAATAGCAGCTCTATTGTTTCCCATTAATGCTGCTCCAATCCTCTTAAAAGAGGAATCCTCTCTGGATGTTAGGCTGGCTCAGACACATTTATAGCTACAGGTCATTTCTTTCCAGCTGACACAGATAATGGCTGGGTTCAGAACACGGTGATGTGGGTAAAAACTGTTGGCCCGAGTAAGAAAAGGGGAGAGCAGGGGGTTGTAGAGAGGGGGGGGGTTCATCTCTGGTGGTGGGTGGCTGTGGTGAGCAGCAGGAGGCAGCTGGGGTAGAGCTGGAGGTTGTGGCTGTAACAAAACTGCTAAGTAGTGTTCAGTGGTGAGGGGCAGGTAAAAGGAGCAGCTCATAAAAAAAAAAAGGGGGAATGAGGAAAATGCGATGCTGTAAAAAAATAGGGAAAGAAAAGATTCTTGCTGGTTTTAACTGAAATTTTTAAGAACAAATTGTAAAAATGAGAGAAATATGCGTATTTGCATCTGCTGGCTCTCTCAGTCATTTTGTATAGAGTAAAGCCCGTAGTAGGTATTTGATTAACTTCATGCATTAGCAGGTTTTTTCATGTGAGTGGTGTTAGCTGTATGTACTTATTTCTTCAGGATTTGCTCTGTGTAATTGCTGTTAATTACTATCCCCTATTTCCCTGTAACATCCCCCCACAGGCAGGTAACACATCCCAGTCTTGAAAAACTAATGCGAGGGAAGTTCCCTTACAGTCCCTTCTGGTTTCCTGAAGCACTGAGGCAAAGCGAGTGGGGTTTTATGTAAAGGGAACCTTGGCTCCCCAATTCTTCGGGGTGAAGGCATTAACGTGCAGAAAAACCCTGAGCCTCTGGAGCCTGCTCCTAAATAGGGCACAGCTCAGAACATCTGAAGGTCTCTGTGACTCAGAGGTGGGAATCTTCTAATGGTCTTAGTTATTTTTGTACGTGCCCGATAGCACACATTGCACTGCCCTAAAGCAGAGAAGCAACTCCACGATCACCAAGGGAGCACACGAAAAGAAGGTGAAATAGCAAGGCACAATATTAACATCAAATAAAGGTACAAGACAGCGAGAAGAAAAAGAAAAAAGGGAAACCAACCGAAGGTGATAAAGCAACAACACAAGCGAAGGACTTGGGCAGGATTTTCCTTCTGTTCCTTCTTTTTTAAATCTTGTTTTGCGGAGCGATATGGGACAGCAGTTTGCCAACGCTGAAGGGGAGCAAGGAGAGATTGATGTTGCGGAATTGCAGGAATGGTATAAGAAATTTGTGGTTGAATGTCCCAGTGGGACCCTCTTCATGCACGAATTCAAGCAGTTCTTTGGGGTCCAGGATAACCGTGAAGCAGCAGAGTATATCGAAAACATGTTCAGAGCTTTTGATAAGAATGGGGTAAGTGCTGAGGAGTTTTTTACAATTCTTTGTGTGTCTGTCTGCTGTCGTTTGGAGGTGTTTTGGTGCAGTTCCCACCCTGGTTACCACGTCTCATGAGACTAAGGCAAGGGCGATGGACTTGCTAGGGCAGGAGAAGCAGCACAGGCAGCACTACTCTGTACGGGCTGATACGGGTTTGTCTTTGCACACAAATTAAGGACAGAAAGTCCCCTCAATGGACAAAAGGTGGTTTAAAAGGTTGAAATTTAGGCAGTCCCATTTTGAGACAGTATTGTTGGCAGATCCTCAAATAGCCAAGCTTGCTGCGTGAAAAAAAAAATATTTATCTGTTATGATAGAGGGAGATTTACAGTGGAGGAAAGTCCTACTCAGGCTTGCTATATGTGGGAGGAAATGTGCGTATATATGGTATGAACAGGTGGCATGTAACAAAATATTGATTTTAGCTGCTCAAAAGTGAAGGAATGTTGAACAATTCGGACATTCTGGTTTTGATTCCCATTGCTGTATTTGTCATCAGACACCTGGGAAAAGTGGGCTTTCTGGTTTAGTAGCAGTTCATGCATACCCACGTTCTGCTGCAGAAGATAGCCTAATACTAGCCTGCGATATCTGAGACGCCTTTCTCATCACGAAATGGCTCAGCAGTGCTTGCCAAATGGTTCGACTTTTTTCCCCAAAGCTCTTGATCATATTCAAAGTGTGGGGTTGTTCGCTGCTGTGTATCAATAGAGGGAAAGGGGAGATGAGTCTGTCACCTCTCAGAAATACCAGTTTCCCTTAAGCTTCCTTGGAAACCAGCAGCAAAGCCACACCGAGGTGACAACAAAAGCCAGTTTGTGAGAAAGGATGGGAAAAAAAAAAAAAAAAGCCATGGAAGGTGTGCCCAGGTCAGATTTGTCTCAGAACTGGAAGTTGGCAAAACCCAAATTCCTGCAAAAAACCTGAAGGTCCAGGTCCAAATTCCTGCTATGAAAGCTCTGCAGAAAGGGCGGCAGAGCAAGTGGTATGCGTAAAAGGTGAACTCCAATTCTTCGTTTATAGGAGTTTTCTGACCAAGACTGAAAATCTGTTTTTAAGAGATGCTGGTACTTGCATACATCAAGAACACTAAATTAGGCCTGGGTTCACGTTTTTACTTCAACAGGCCGATGGCGTATATGATCAGTTGAGCAGGGCCTAGCAATCTAAAGGATTATTAATAGTGTGGGAAAATAAAAACAATTCCCCAATGTCCTTGGCACCCCGAGTCCAGCAGCAGCAGGTGTTGCCCAGGGCGCTGCCGGGCGCTCGGGGCCGCAGCAGAGCGTGCCGGGGAGCAGATGTGCAGCCCAGACCTTCCTGGGGGTTTGCCATCTGGGTCGGGGGGGCTGCGAGGTGACGTGGGCCCCCAGCTTGGCCCCGGGACAGTGGTGACCTGTGGGGGCCATCTGCTGGAGGCTGCCCGGGGAGCCCTGCATCCCTTGGCTGCCCCAAGCCTTTAGGAGGATGAACACCTGATGTAAATCCCTTACTGTGGGTGTTCTGGCTGCCTCCTCCTCCTCAGTGGTGGCATTTTCTTTGTCATAGCCCTCCTCAGATGAATCCAGACCAAACAAGGGGGAAGGATGAAAGGCGGGGGTAATGGCTGGGTGCTGCTCTCAGGGGGGGAGCAGCTGAGGTCGCTGAGAACGGCAATCCTTTCCCCAAAACCTCCTGCACTGATCCTCATCTGCCTCCCCACCCTCCGCGTAATCTGTGTTGCCTTGGGGTATCCGAATCGCTCTTTTCTGGAGTCCTGGCTCCGTCCCCCCTCATTGCTTTGCTCCCCTCTGTCACACTCCCCGCTGAACTCGCCCTCGGTGCAGAGGGGCTGTGCTTACGGATGGTCTCGAACTGGCATGAATCTTCCATAAAGTGGCAAACAGATAGCTGTCCCGTGGAGTATCTCCCTGACAGTTTTTATTCAGGTTTTGCAAGCCGTCTTCTATCCGCTACACCCAGTGAAGTGTCATTCAGCTGCTGCTTTCCTGTTTCTGCAGGATAATACCATTGATTTTCTGGAGTATGTAGCTGCCTTGAATCTTGTTTTACGAGGAAAACTGGAACACAAGCTGAGGTGGACATTCAAAGTGTATGACAGGGATGGGAATGGCTGCATAGATAAACCTGAGCTGCTGGAAATTGTTGAGGTAAGTAGGCGTTGCCTAATCACTCATTTCAGCAATCCCCGTTCTTTGGCAACGTAATGATGTATACGGGGATTGTGGTAATTGGGTTTCAAGGCAGCTGTGGATAGTGATGAAGTGAAAACGCCTGACCTTGGTGACGGGGTTATGTGCTCGGTGGTTTGGAGCCTGGTGGGGTGGCTGGGGATCAGTTATACCCGCTGCGGGCAGCCTGGGCCCTGCTGCTGCTGGATCTGTCCAGAACTGCAGCATCTGGGGGCTGTTGTGGGATTCCTGTGTCTCCACTCTGCCTTTCCTTTCGACCTTTTCACACCAAGATTCCTGGCACTGGCCAGTGGCAGAGGGTTTCACCCCATGCCCCTCAGAGGAGCCAAGTTTCCTGCCTGAGCAGTTGGTGAGAATACACCGGGAGGCACAAATTAATACAGAAATCCCTTTTGTAAGGATTCTTCTCTGGGTTTCTGCTCTATTCTGCACTTTAATCCGTGACAGTGTGAAGGTGTGAGGGGAGGCCTGGGGCTTAGACAGTCAGACGCAGGGTACCGGGGTTCGTTCTTTAGGTAAATATCTTGGTGACTGTGCCAGTGTCACCCCTGCACCCCACACAGCAGTGCTCGTGGGGCTTAACGGTCATCGAGCACTTCAGGATTGTAGCTGAAATGCAAGGTTAAGAATCAGAAACTGAATCTGCGGAAGCGGGTCCTTTTGGCTGGATGGTGTGACCAGCTTTACCTGCAGCACCAATGGCAGGTGTGGGAGCATCTGGGAGCTTGTCTGGGACAGGTTCAGTTATAGTTTTGAGGTCAGCCAGGAGCTGGCCAGAGCTGTGTTAGGTCCTTGCTAATCCCCTCTCTGGGAAGACTGCAGACAAAAGCCTTCAGCCTAAGGAGTGAAGTTAATAATGAACAGGTGGTTGTCATGGGAGGAATAGATAAAATCTGCCCCTTTCCAGTGACAAAGTGGAGCAGAAACTATGGGTCAAAATATGAGCCAGTGCAGGTTTGATCTTGCAGCTTGGGCACAAGTTCCCTGGGAAAGAGAGGTGGCTAAGTCCAGATGTGCCTGGCCTCAGATGTTAGAAAAAAAAAAAAAATTAGAAGTCAGATGACTTTCCCATCCATCTGTGAAACTCTTGCCTTGTTCTTTGCAAAGGAACCCTGAGGTCTGACCACTGTGTGTTAGGAAAATAGGAGGCCAGCAGCTTCAAAGAGCAAATGAAGTCATCTGCAGTGTGTGTGAGCGTGAGGTCGGAGGTTTCATTACAGGTCTGGGGCTGTTGAGCGGCAGAGCTTTCTCGACAGGTCAGAACTGCAGCCTTTGGAAAAGACCTTTACGCTGTTGGGAAGATAATGGAGTTCGCTGGCTTTCGTTTTCCAGTCCTCCTCTTAATCTCTGAACTTCTTTTCAGTCTATCTACAAGCTGAAGAAAGTGTGTCGGTCGGAGGTGGAGGAGAGGACCCCACTGCTCACACCGGAGGAGGTTGTGGACAGGATATTTCAGTTAGTGGATGAGAATGGGGATGGTGAGTGACTGACGGCTCGGATTGCGTTCATGCGTAATCAGAAGTTACCTGTGCTGGGCAGGCCAGCTTTAATTACATCTATCGAGAAATCACTTCGGACTATTATGTTACTCATACGAGATGTGCTGGGATTGGTTCTGGTCTGTTTGTTACAATCAAGAGACTAGAATCAGGGTGCAGCAGGATGAAATAACATTCATCGCGGTTTTAATGTAAAATAAGGGGTCACTATTCTGTCTGGATTTTGATGCCCCACAGATCTCGTCCTCTGAAAGCCCCAGTAGCCAGAGCGCAGGTCCCAGCCCCAGCACGTAAAGTCTGGCTCCAGTTAAACTGGAGCTTGCAGGACCAGGCTTGCCGTCCTCCCGGAGGAGCCTGCGTGAGCTCCAGCAGCGTTACGGCGGGTGGTTTGCCTGTCAGCTGGCCTAAAGTGCGTGGGGAGATGAAGTATTGCTTTTGTCTTATTAGCATATTTTCCGAAACACAGATGGTTTTTACTCCCTGCCTCCCTCTGCTTGTCTCATCTGTCATGTTCTGTCTCCCCACCTTGTGTCCTCCTCTCTTCTCATACACAGGGCAGTTATCTCTTGACGAGTTCATTGATGGCGCCAGGAAAGACAAGTGGGTGATGAAGATGTTGCAAATGGATGTGAACCCCGGGGGATGGATCTCTGAGCAGAGGAGGAAGAGTGCTTTGTTTTGAGAAAAATTCAGTTCTGATACAGCTGAAAATGTGATGCTGACTACAACTGTGGCTCTTACTCTAGAGTGGTAGTGGCTTTCCTTTTTAATAAAATCTCAGCATCCAGGTGAAAACGTCAGCGGTTTAAGAAGCCATATCTCAATCTAAAACCCATGTGCTGCACACTGCTGGTACCCAGAGACTCTTTTTGGCCCATGAATAAGTCTTTCTGTGTACACAGTACAGTGTTTGCCAGCTCTGGTTTTTGGTTACACCCCAAGGAACGAACTTTTTGTGGCTTCCTGAAGTGGATCCTGGGCAGGGTTTTATTCTGGTGACAGATGGGATGGGGAAGTGAGAAACTGTGACAGTGGTACTGTCTCCAGTGCAGACTAGCGTTTGCATCGTTCACGCCTGCAGAGATACAAACACATCAAACCAAGAGTGGCAACAAAAGAGGTGCTCTGGCAGGCTTCGTGCAGTCAGGATGACTGTATGCTACCGCTAATGTAAAATTATTGAACACCAGCACGTTGCTGTGAAAACGAGAACGGGGTCACAAGCGGTAGCCAAGGCAGCACTCAGGGCCGAGGAGATAATGTGTGGGCTGGACAGGGGGAGCAGCGACTCCTTGCATCTCCCTTCTGTGGACCAGGGTCTGCTCCTCCTACCTGTTCCGAGACCTGTGTCTCCATGGGGCTGGGAAGACGCGATTTCCAAACACGGAGACCGCCTGGGAACGGCAGTAACAATTATACCCGACCTGTACTGGGACAGATTTACACAAGTGTGGTTCTGCTCCTTTTCAGCCTGTTTCTCACTGAGCCGTCACTCCAGAACAGCTTTTCCTGCCCCATGAAGTCTGACAGGTCAGGGAGCTCCAGGGCTTTCACTGCACTGGGAGGAGTTTTGCGTGGAAGGAGAAATAAGGGGAGAGCAGAGGTTTGCTTGGCAGGTCTCTGCCCCGAGGGGGTGAGCGCGGCTTTGTCGGCAGGACCAGAACGAAGCGAGTGACGGAACATCCAAGTGAGTTACTGAAGTAGTACAGTGGTTTTACACTGGGCTTAATTTAGTCGCAGACTAGATATAAAATTTGCACGGGCTGTACACAGAGCTCTGCTAGTCTAACTCATATTCCTACATATGTACATGTATGTGGGAAAAGAATTTGGGATTTTACTAATATTTTGGTTCACCTTTATTGGTTTATTTGCGAGAAATTTCCCCAGGAAAATAACACGAGTTCAGTTTATTTTAATTTTCCCATGGGATCGGTGGGCTAGGTCAAACCCGTTCAATTTTTGTGGCCTTTAATCATGACCGTAGTATCTTTCATTAATCGACTAGTTGGCTAGTTTGTGGTCTTGTCAGTTTAACTCACGTTTAAATTCAGAAGCACGAGGATACTATTCCGGATAAGACAATCAGTGCTAGAGTTCAAATGCATATGCATTGCCACTTCTAAATAGCCTCTCTAAGCTCTCTGTAAATACACATGAACTTGTAGCGTGCTTACTTAGAGCTCATTAGACTGGTAGTTTATGCTGCTGGAAGGCAGCTGCTTAAAGCTCATTCAAGTTGATAGTTTATCAGCCAAAGATCTGACAGAGAAACCTTACTTCTGACTTGAGGGCCTGGAAAAGAAAAAAAAAAAGATTAACTTTACTGATTGATTTTTTTTTCCAATTTGTGGACGCTGTCATGGGAGGATACAAATCTCTTAACTCCTTAAGTTTCAGCATCTCAACCGACATGCTACACTCTGCTTCTTGCACAATTAAAGTAGATGTTGCATACTGCAGGTTTACTGAAATGCTTTAAATTCTGTTCACCTGGCCAGCTCAGTCACCGAAGGAGCTGCTGGGTGTCCCCTGCACCAGCAGTCCTCTGCCGGGGTGGTAGAGGGCATCCTAACACCGAGCACTTGTACAGCTGTTGGGAGGAATTTTGTAATGTGACTTTAATAAAGAATTATTTGTTACAATTCTACCTGGTTTGTAGTATTTATTTTTCACTCAGCATGAAGGTGAAGACCTGTGTAGGCACCTGAGGATCCGACCAGAATTCTTTAAGATTGACATAACGAGTTTAAGGGTAGAATTAAGTGTAAAAACTAACCTGGGTAAGACAAATATAAGGCAGAGATGGTGATGCTATTGCAGATGCGGAGTAGGAACGGAGTCCCTTCTGTTCAACGTCTATGTAATGACAGTGAAAAGTGTAAGTGTATCATTAAAAAAAAAGAATATTTCTCAATGGAATTAGAAATAGATGCTTAGAATAAAGCGAGCAGGCGGTGCTGCAATCAGATGGCCCCCGTTTTAACTCTGCCAGGACTGAAACGGGAACCTTGAAGAATTTAGGGCTCAGAGTGTTGGACTCGGCAGCGGATGGTTCCACCCCTGAGGCCTGGGCAGACCCGGGGTGTAGCGGTGGGCACGGTGGGTAATGCTTGTGTTAGTGCTGGCATAACCCAGTGGAAAATTGCTCCTCTTATCAGCTCTGTAATCTTTTGTCAAGAAATTGCCAGGTGCTCTAGTCTTATTTTTAAATCCGTAGGTATAAATAACTTTGATCTCCCAAAATCAGTTAAACGTTCCCATCAGGCTGTTAATGTCAGACATTCTGCGTAATCCATTTTTCCAGACTTACAGACCAGATAGAATTGGATTTGACTGATCGGATTTCTTTTTGGTCTAAACTGGGAAACAGGATGGCTTGGAAACGGCAAATGCCTTCTGAGCTTCTTCCATCTGCTCCGACGTTTGATGCCCCTGAAGTTGGGTAGGAGCGAAGGTGGAATAACTGGGTCAAAAAGCAGAAACCGAGGCTGTTGTTGAATGGGGCTGACAGAGAGTAGCACCAGGGAACAGGAGCCAAGGAGGCGTCTGCATCCTAAACCACTCTGGAAGGTGCGTTCCTGGGGAAGTCACTGGCAGCAGAAATAATGAGGCTGAGAAGGAAAGGAGATAATTACCTCTCCCCCGGTGCTTAGCCGTGCTCTTTACTTCTCTAGGCACCTGACGCTCTGAGCGGGGAGGCTCACCCGTGGGTAGCTGGGGTTTGGTGGCTGCCCAGAGGAGAGCTTTGTGTCCAGGTCATTCCCAAAGCCCATGTGTGCCGCCTCCCCTTGGAAACGTTGTGGTGGAAAACAGAGTGACCGTGCCACGACTTACACAGCCCCTGCTGATGGCTGCAGGGGCTTCTTGTGGCCTCACCATACTCAGCGGCTTTTTCACAGCACCTTGTGCTCGGCTCTGGCAGGAGGGGAAAATACTTTCTTCTTTCCTCCTCCTTCTCAAAGGAAAAAGTACATCTCAGATGTTTAGAAAGTAGCTGGAACATATTATCGGTAGCGACTCTGTATTTAAGGTAACCTCATGGTATTCTGGGATGTGCTAGGGGAGCACAGGGCTGTGCTGCAGGGCAGCGCATCCCTGGGGATAAGGGGCCTTTAGAACCATCTGGCTGAGAACCTGTTTTGTTTCATTTCTTTGCCTTTTAGGCCTCATGCCCTAGATGCACAGGGATGCTAAAGGAGATGATTTTTTTTTTTTTTTTTTTGCAGTTCACCATTATCCTTTCTTGAGCTCATCATCTCCCTTCTGCTTGATTTTCCTGCCTAAGAGCCCACCCGCTCCATCCCCCATGGGTCTTCCATGGTGCCACCGCTGTCCCGGCGCTGGCAGAGGGCACTGTGGGACAGGATGGGACATGAGTCTTACTCTAGGCTGGTAGTGGCTTTCCTTTTAATACAACCTCAGCATTGTATTAAATTATTATAATTAATTATGCATGAGTTAGGGCAGAGAGAGTCACAATATTACTTTTTAATTATTTTTAATTTGCTTTCTTAGAGGCTGAAAAAACATCCTCTGGAGAGAGACACTGAGGTTTGAAAGCTGCCTTCGGCCAGCCAGCAGCTCTGAGACAGCCCTGTTAGAATAACATTGCCTTTATAAATAGAAGTCGGGCTTGTCAGGGCTGCTTCTTGCAGCTCCTTGGGCGTGCAGAGGAGCGAAAGGCTGGAGGAAACACGGGCGGGACTGGCTGTGTCTCTGGGAGGGAATGTGCGCAGAAAGCCCACGCTGAACCCGGCTCCCTCCTCGCTGCTGTTGTGAAGATGAAGTGCAGTCGGGTTTGTGCCAGTCATTTGTGGGGGAGTTAATTTCGCTGCAAGGAGAAGTATTACACACTGAGTAAACAGCTCAGCCCAGCTCGAATCGGACGGTTGCAGCCTGCTCTCTCTCGCACCGGTGTGATGGGGTGGCCGGACAAGCTGGCCCGCCGACGGGCTCCTCTCTCTGGCCTTTTGGTTTTTGTGCCCGTCCAGCCCCCCCGGAGCCCGAGCCAGGCTGTTGGGGCAGCTGCTGGCGGGGCCGTGGCCGTGCATCCCACACTCACCATCTGTCTGGGCAGAAAACGGTCAGGAGGGAGCGACGGGGCTGCCACACGCAGCCCAGGAGGCGCAGGGCAGGGAGCAGGAGCTTAGAGATGTGGGTGGGTAAAGCAGAGCTCCAGGAGAGTTGCAGGACTACCCGGGGGGGGGAGGTTTTATTAAAGCAAGCTACGCTTGCTCAATGCAGGTGAGGTTCAGGAGAGCAGGCAGCGCCCGTGGGATGCAAGAACCTGGGAGCTGCCTCTTTTCTCCGCTGATTCTGAAGAAAACAGACCTCTCCCCGTGCTCGTGCTCTTCTTGCGAAAGAACTATTTTAATGGACCCAAACCAAAGGTTTCTGCACTTGTATGAGACAGCTAATCTGTCGTGCTGGAAACGGAATGATTGAAGGAAAGAAAAAGCACAACCTGAAATAATCTCATAAAATATCTTTATTTGTTCACTATAAGATTGGAAGTACAAAAGCTTCGAGGTAAACCACTGTCAAGTGAAAAAGACGGGCAGGAAAAATGGTCAGAAAGTTGCTCATGACTTGCAATCATCCAGTGCTCAATAACGAGTCCTTCAGCGAGGCAAGAAATCCTTCCTGGTGTCCCGCATTGCCCCGCCACGCCTGAAACTCGCTCCCATCAGGTGAGGAAACTCCTGTCGAGGAGTGGCCGAGGCGCAGCCCCGGCTCGGCGTGGGGACAGCGGGTGTGAGGGGATGGGGCCGCTGCTCCCGCAGCCTCCCCTGTGCGTGTGCTGGCGCCTGGGGCAGCTCCTGGGGCTGCTCTGCCCGGGAGGGTATCACAAGGGGTGACCGGGTTTGATTGCACAGGGGACGGTACTCGAGCCAGCTGTACCGTGGGGGTGGTGGCACCCACTGCCTGCCCAGGGACACTCGGGTGCTCGTGGCACCGACACTGCCTGCAGCTCATCTCTAGCTGCACACCCCCCCAAAAGACAATTCGCTGCCACTGGGGTTAAAACCACCTGATGCCCGAGGGTGCCACACGGTGTAACTCGCAGGAGAGTTCGGGTCTGTTGCACAGGCGATAAGACGTGCAAGGATGTTCCCACAAACATGCAAAGCTCTTCCCTCTCAGGTTACCGTCATTGCCGCCCTTCCAGATACCTCAAGGACAAGCATGCCCTTAAAGTTCAGATAGTTGTTAAAAAAAGGCACCATTCTATGTTTTTAATACTTTTAAACAAAGAAAAGCCGCTGCGTTCACCACTCCCCTTCTTCTAGCTCATAGATGCTTTTATCTTGCATTATCACTGGCCGACTGCTGACAGATTAATAACAAATCAGAGAACGAATGACCAAACCCACTGATCTCATGCTCTGGAAATACAGATGGAGAGAGAAGGTTCAGTCTCTGAGCGCGGTTTCATACGTGGGACCCCTCTCAGCGGGGCCAAGTGCCGGGCAGCCCTGGGGTTCATCCCCCGCAGACGCAGGCGTTGGCCGCTGCCTCGGTGCGAATTTCGAGGCTCTCTCGGTGCGTTGTCCAAGCGCATCGCGTGGGGCCGCTCCCCCTTCCCGGGGAGGTGAGACTTTACCCCTCCCCACTCCTCAGCAACGTCCGTCCCACCCGGGGGTGGCTGTGTGCTTCCAGCAGCACCCCCTTCCTGCGCCGGGCAGGGCCTGGGCAGCGCCTGGGGATCCCCCGGCTCCCCCCAAACCATCTGCCAGGGGAGCGGCGCCTCCGGGGCAGATCCTGGTCCCTGCGCTGGTGGGATAGTCTGTGACCGGTCACGCTGGGGCAGCTGCCCAGCTCCCACAGCCACAACCCGATTTGTTTTAATAATGTGAGGGGGGAAGAGACGAAGGGGAGGTGTCCCGGGAGACTACTGGGCCACCTCCGCCGCCTGCTCGGGCTCGCGCGGGTTCTTCCCGTCGTTCTGGATCAGCTGGACAATGTGTGTCAGGTCCAGGCTGCGGGTGAGGATCTGGAGCAGCGTTTCGTCCTTCTGCACGCCCTCCATGAACTCCTCCAGGGAGAGCTCACCTGCGAGAGCACGGTCAGGAAAGATGGGTTAAATCCCGCGGCCCTTCTCCTCGCCTCCGTGCGCGGCCTCAGAGCGGCCCCCCAGGAGTTTCACGGACTATAAACCGCGGCCCTTCCTGAGGTCCCAGCTCTGTCTCTCGTACACCCCAAACCCCGTCACAGCGCAGCCCCGAATCCCACCCTGCCGGTACAACGAGGGGCAGTTTGCCGGGTCCCCTCGGGCTGGTTGCAGCCCGTGGAGGGGATGAGGAGCTGAACCTTCACGGGGAGCTGCTCTCCGCCAGCTCTGCCCATGCCCCAGTGTTTTGGGACATCCAGCACCTGGATTTGCTCTGGCAGACTGAACCGCGGGTAGGGGGGCATGTGGGAGCAGGATTTGGCATTGCATAAGAGAGGTCCTCACCGTCTCCGTTTATATCAATTTTGTCAAACACCATGTTTGTGAATTCCTCGGCCGTCATCGCTTCGTTGCACCGGTTGATAGCTCGAATAGCCTGGAGGAAAAGGAGGACACAATTCCTGAGCCTTTGAAGATTTGTGCATCCACCGGATAAGTGACTGGACACGAGAGGCTAAACTTTTCGCAGGCAGTTAAGTTCTGAAAGGAGCAAGTCCTTTCTAAAAAAACTGGAGATTAAAATCACTTAAAAGAGCAATCAATGCATTAAAAGATTAAGTGGGCATACTGGGATAAGCCAGGAGCTCTTCACCTCAAAATCCTCAGTTCCCACGTTTCAGCGGACGTGGTTAAACAACCTGCGCAGCTCCGGCCAGGGCAGCCGGCCTGGCGGGAGGACAAGCAGCAGGTTTGGCCGGTGACTGTTGATTTACCAGGGGGTTGTTTTTTGGGTTGGAATATTCCTATTACGACCTTTCTGTCTAATCTAATGACCATCGTGAGAGACACGGGGAAAGCGGAGCCCACTCACTTTGATGATGTTCAGCAGTTCTCCCCGGTCAATGCAGCCGTTCCCGTCCACATCGTAGAGCTTGAAATACCATCGCAGCTTCTGATCCACCTTCCCTTTCAGGACCAGACTCAGAGCTGCCACATACTCCATAAAATCTATGTAGCCATCCTAAAAGCAGAAGGTTAGAAGCTGGATGAGATGAAAAGCCGAGTCGGGCAGTGAGGGATTTTCCTGGTCATTTTGGAAATCCCCGCTGGAAGACTTCAGCGGGTGGCCACCACCTCGAGAGCAGGGGCTTGGGGAGCGCAGCAGAGGCGCCGGGTGTGGGTCCTCTGCACACCCACCAGTTAAGACCAGTGCACTGGTGAGGGCTCCCCATTAGCCTCTGCAGAGCCGTTATCTGTCGATAACGAAGGAACTCGCTGTGTGTACCTGGCGTGGGGCTAAGGAAGCCTCGACAGCTAGGCTGTGCTAAAGGAGTCCGTAGGCAAAGCAGTGGTGATTCAGAGGTCAAAGAGGAACAGGCTTATGCAGATGAACCCCGAAGGATTACCTCACGTTACCCTGTCCACGCACACCTACAGCTCCTTTCTGCTGCGAGGGGTCTCACATGCACAACTCCCGGAGAGGAATGAGCTCAGGAATTACCCCAGCACCTTGCTGACATCTCGGGAGGGGAGGGTGCTGCTCTGTCCCTGCGCCGTTCGTGTGTCTGCTCTGCGTTTGGTCACGCCAAAAGCACAAACACTTTTATCTTTGACTTTCCTCCGAGGTGTTTGCCCGCCACCAGCTCGCAGGGCGGCGCTGGCCCGCAGACGGCTCTCCAGCCAGGGTTACGGTACCCGTGCCAAGCCAGGCTGGGGTGAGCTCACGTGCCACCACGCTGCCCCCAGACACTGCCCCGTGACGTTCACAGCTGCTAGGAAGCTTGTGAAAACATGTGGTGCTCGCCACAGAGCATTTCAACGGCACATACCGTTGAGATACGAAGCACTTTGAGGGAAACGGGTACATACTATAACCCACAGAAAGTCTTTGGGAGGGAGGGAGGGAGTCAGGGTTTTGTCAATGAACGCAGCCACCGCACCACGGGGCAGGTTCAAGAAGAGATCATCTGCTTTATCCCACTGCTGCAAGAGCCAGATTAGATATAAATAGCTGCTGAGGCCCTTTCCCAGCAGGATTTCCTGTGCATCAATTCCCTTTTCAGACGTGTATTCAAAGATGAGGCGTGAGCAAGGTAAAGGCCAAGGCACAAACAAAATACCGAAGGGATTTAGGGCCTGAAGTGTATTCTTTCCAGTGGGTTTAAGGCCACCAAGCGCTTTGCGTTGCCACGGAATATATTCCTCATCTCACAAGGTGCAAATCTGCAAGTAAAGGAGGGTGTTGTTTCCTCTCGGGGATGCACGGCCCCTGACGGGGAGATGGGGCTCCCCAGGTGACCCCGCACCAGGGCCCGGTGCTGCCACAGCCCGGGGCGCTGAGGCTCCCCGCAGGGGACGAAGGGCCTGAGCTCCTTATCGCATGGGACCGAGCACGTGTAATAAAACCAATGAAACTGTAATCCATTTATAATTTAAAACAATAGAAAAACAAACCCGACCTGTTCCGTAAACCATCGCTCATGCCACGCTCGGGAACTCGCTGTTTCTGCATGAATGCAGCGCTTGTTCTCACACCCCTCGCTTGTTCCTTACTGTCACAACATTTGATATTTAAGGATTAAAGGGCACTTCATTTTAAAGGGATCACAGAGTACCAGATAAAACCCCACTATTTTAATAATTTAAAAGGGAATTTTCGGTTCTGGGAAAAGTCTATTTTCTCCCAGAACAGTCAGCAGGTGAGGAGTTTGCGCTGACATTTTTCGCCTTTCATAAGTGATTTTACAGTTTATGAGGCCATAGAGAATCCGGCCACGCGCGCTCAGAGCCACAGCGATAGCTGCCTACACCCAAACACAGCCCGCGCGACCGCGGCGCCCAGCCGATCCCCGGGCAGCCTGAGCGGGAAGGACAATATTTACCTTATTAAAGTCAAACGTCTCAAACATTTGCTCAACGTATTTGTTCGCCGCCGGACTCAGGTTTTTCAAGCCAAAAAACTGTTTGAACTCGTAGAGGGTGAGCTGGCCAGAAGGACACTCCGTCATGAACTTCTTGTACCACTGGTGGCACTCGGTAGCGCTCAGCTCCTCCACGGCTTTCCCGTCCATGTTCCCCATCTCCACACCAAGTATTGGTCACTTCGCAGCCCAAATGGATGTTTTTTCTGAAATCTGAGGGCTTTCTTTTAAATTCTGCTTCTTGCCTTCAAAGTCCAAATGTCCTCAACACCGCAGGGATCACAGTATGGGGAAAAAAACCCAAAGAGTCTCGTGCGTGGGCTGCACGGAGTCGGTGTCGGTGGTGACGGACGCAGCCGACACCTCTCCCGGGAGAACTCCAAAGCGCAAACCCCTCTTTGGACAAGAAGGTGACAGTTAAGTACCCAGCAAATCCCCTCCCAGCCAATGAGGCTCGGGGGGATGATGGGCTCCTGCCAGGCATTAAGAGTTCAGGGTGAAAATAGAAAGGAGTAAAATGGGAAACTCCCGCAGATTACAGGCCCATCAGGAGATTACGAGGGTGGAAATTTCTCTGTGGTGGTGTAATCCCCTAATCCACTTCCTTTATGATTTTGGGGGGGGTGAGTGTCACATGGGCAATAACTTTTACCCCAAAATCAGAGCAAGAAGAAAGAGAAAAAACTGCTCAGCGGTCTCTGTGCTGTTGGTGCCTTTCTGGTCTCCTCTGGCTGGAGGATTTCGAGGTGGGGCTGTTGATTTGAGCCTGAAATTCCAGGAGGGGGAAGAACTATTTCAGCTCCTATAAGAGATGTTGTATGCGGGCAAATTTAGTGTGCTGAGGCAAACATAGAAACATAATTGCTTTGAGTGGTAAAGCTCTAAGTGCTTTAAATGCGGCCACCAGATGCTCGGACGATCTTCCCCCGGGGAAGCTCCTTCTCCACCCAGCCGCTGGGTCCCGTGTTCCATCGAGTGTTTCTGCCGCGGAGTCGTCCCACACGGGGCTCGTCCCGGGAGCGTCTCCTGGCCGCTGCACTACCAGGACTCTGCTGATGCCGGTGGAGTTGAATGCAGCTTCGATTTGTAGTTATGATGAATTACCATGAAAGATTCTCCATGTGAATATAACCCAAACCGGTGTTGGTTTTACCCTGACACGCAGCATTCGGAGGAGGACTGGGAGATAAAAAAGCGTTTCCTCAGAAAGCGGCATGGGCCGGGTCCTCCACTAGTAATGAAATGGATGTGAATTCTGGATCTCTACCCGCAGAGAGTCTGTCCTATAACCCTCACTTTTTCCTCTCTGACAGCTTTAAGACAAAGAGCCCACAAGAAGACAAACACAACTTTTGTGTGTTGCAGAGCCCAGCGTTGCTTCTGCGCTGAAGCAAACTAGGAATAGCTCTGCCAAAGCAGGTGGCGTTGCACAAGCGTAAAACAGTTATGACAAAGGAATTAGATTGAGGAATGCTAATTGGGTGTGCTAATCCTGCTCTCGCCAGCAGCACCAGGCAGAGGTCCCCGCTGCACGCAGCACCTGGAAGCTTCAGGGGGTGTCCCCAGCTCTGACCCCCCCCCACAGGGGACAGGGCTGCGGTAGCCTGTCCTGAAGCACAGAGAGGGGTTGCAGTGCGGAGACGGTCACTAACAGCAGAAAAGTTGCTTGTTAAATGTGGATACAGGCTCGCCAGCTGCTTCAAGGAGTACGTGCTAACGGGGCATCCAGCTCTCCAGGACGGGCAACGCAAAAGCTGAACCACTTTATGCTGCCTTCCAGAGCAGAGCCGCAGGGCCGTGCTGCCTGAGTTCCAGCTCCTATTGCCGTCTCGTTTCTGAGGGCCACAAATGAAACACGCTTCTCTGTTCTCCAAGAACTGTACTTTGCCTGTGTCTAGGAAAGCCCAGTGAAAGAAGGCGTCCTTTCAAGAAGGACCAGAATTTAGGATGAGCTGAAGAAGCCGGCAAACCCTTCCCGGGTTTTGCGGCGTGTGCTAAGGCCTGGCTTGTGCCGAGGAGCCTGGCTGAGCGGCCATTCACGCGGTGCCGTGTGCTGCTGACACCCAGTGCCTCTGCGTAAGCAGCTGGCAATAAATGACAGGACAAGTCAGACCGGGTTTTTAGAGCAAAATCCACACGGCGCGTTTTTCTGGGGAGCAGTGACACAGCCTCGCCACCCATTCCTCGGCTCACGTGCTCACTGCTGGTCATAACTCAGGCACTCGACGGGAAGCTGGAGTCACACGGGTCACTGGTTTCATTGCTTGGGCTTTATTGCTCTCGACCACGGCTTTGTGTCCAGCGTGGGTCTCCATTTCACGATGTTGGCACTCGGGACGTCCATCACCTTCTTGGTGTGGTTGGTGTCCCGGCGGTAGCGGTACCCGCAGGTTGGCCTCTGCGCAGTGTAGAAGGGGCTGTATGAGTTGGAGAAACGTGGTTCGTAGAAGAGAAACTTGAAGGAGCTGGGCTGACAGCCCCCAAAATGGGTGACAAAAGGAGTGAAGTGCGTGGCCAAAGGCTGGTCCCTGCCATGACGTGCTGGATGCTGCTGGCTCGCCGGGGCGGGCGGCGTGTGAGACTCCTGCATCGCTTTGGTCTCCTCCATCCCCTGTGGTCTCTTGTGGTCTTTGCCAGGGGATTCCGGTGCTTTAGTCATCTGTGGAGCAAAAGAGCCAGACAAATACATTGCAATTGCCCCCAGCCCTTTGCCATCCTCACCAGTGCTTAAGGCCCCAAGGCAAGAGCTGTGTACCGGTGACCAAAAGGCATCAAGTCAGACAAACCAGGAGAGCTCGGGGGGTGCCAGCCTGCTGACAGTCACTGCCGGGGCAGGCAACACGCACTAGAAATGCTGAGGAGCCAAGGATTTCCAGTTCCGTAGCTAAAAATCTAAGGTGGCATTACTTAAAGTGAGCTTGGAATCCAATGATGTGCTGGAAATATGGAAGTGACTTAGTGCAACTAAAACAAAGCAACAAAGCCTACGGAGGGAATGCACACAAGGAGACTCGAAGGGCTTGATTGGCGTTATTTAACCATGACTCAGTTATCTCGTTTTCATTGATGACGCCTCTCTGCTAATAGAAACTGGCTCTTCCCCCAGCAATTAACCGCTCTACTCCTGGGCGTCCCGAATGAACGCTTTGCTGTCTGGCTTTATTTTTAACCTCGTAAAGAGGTTTCCTACTTTCCGTGACGCCCTGGCTTACTTGGTGCTCTATTTCTGTTCCCTGTAGCTGGCTCTGAACGCTGGTTCCTAAACCTATTAGGAGGGGGACACCCGCAAATTGATTAGAAATCTCCTTAACGCCTTTGAGGGAAATGACCAGACCCGCCCCCCCCCGATTCACCACCTCTCTTTGTCGCTCCTTTCCCCGGTACAGCCACCTGCCAGACGCTTGAGAGGCTCCGTCGCTGGAGCTCAGCGCGTGTTGTTATTTCAGCAGGAGGAGATGTCAGTCTATTTTTTTCCACGGGGGATAAAATAATGGGATTTCTGACTCCAGAAGAGCTGATTTTGTCCCTCTACAGTCATTTCAGGGCGGTTTGTGCATCCCTGCTCTGAGCACACTCAGATTTGTTCTGAAATGATTAGATTCACATGCGTGATTATAGCTCATGGCCCTTCTCGCTCTGGAAGATAAGAGACAAGTACACACACGACTGCACCGCAACCACCCAGCAGGGAGGCATTTATGCCATCGCAGCAGCACATTTGGGGGCGGAGGTGAGGCCACAGTTGCTTTGAAAACCCAACTGCTAAGTCATGTAGATGCTCCCGAGATGTGCAAGCCTTGCGTGCGCTCGGCGGCGAGGGCTGACAGTCATTTCCAGTGACGGGCAGCATACCGTGCCAGGGAGTGCTGAGCTTGGGGCTTTGCTCTTGCCACGGGGTTCGTCTGCCCTGGGGGCTCCCGCTCATCCCCTGGGGCATCTCGAGCTTGGCAGGAACATCCTCTGCGCCCGGGGGAGTGCACCTGCTTACGTGATCACTGTCTTTGAGGGGAAGCACCAGCTCAACGTCCACAGCGCTGCTGATGGCCCTGCCAGAGCTCTGTGCCTGAATTAGAGTCCCACATAATCCTATTGCACCCAGTCATGCGTTCAGAGATCCCTAAGCCCTCCTAGATTGTCTGTTATCTCTCAGGATCCTCGCAGGGGGGGGTCACCAAGAGAAGGCCTCACTTCAGTAACCAAGAAAGGGTTCAGACGCCCACCCCGGATGAAGTGCTCCCCCCGGCAGCTGCTGGGGCCCCGCCTGGCTGCTGGCGCTGCCCATCCCGCCCCCCCGCGGCTGCCACCCCCCTCACTCTGCTCCGGGGACCCCCATACTTGCAGCTCCTCACTTGTCCCCACGGAGCCCTCCCAGGGCTACCACGTGCAGCTTGCTCTGAGCTCTCAGCGGCCACGGGGGCGAAGCTGGCTGATGGTGCAGCCGGGATTTGCGCAGCAGGGGAGGGACGGGGCATCACACCGACACCACCAGGAGCCTTTTGTCCCAGAAGGGTGTTCCGGAAGGGGACACGGCGAGCAGGAGTCCCTCCTGCCAAGCCATGAGCACGGAGCTCCCACCTGTGAGGTCATCCCTGCGGCGGGGAGGGGTGGAGGACAGAGGCAGCACTGTGGGGTCATTGGGGCCATTGTGACGTCTGGGGTGTCACCGGGGTGTCACGGGGATGGTGGCTGTCACAGGGGCTGCTCAGGCAGAGGGTGCGGAGCAGCGCAGGGGCTGGGCTGTGAGATCAGGAGGGTGCTGTTTCTCCTGGCCCGATGGGGCAGGGCAGGGTTTGCACCCAACAGGAGCCACCGCCGCTGCTCTGCTGGCCCTGCCACCCCGTCCAAAACGTGGCCCTGGCAGCGCAGACCCACTCCCCGCTAGAGACAGGGGGCAGTTTGCTGTCCTGCAGCCACACAGGAGGGTTTCTCCTCCCGTCCCTGCTCCCTCCTCCGGGTCCGGCTGGGGACCTGCCCCGCACAAGCGCTTCGCACACCTGCGAGCGTGGCGGGGCGAGATCTGCCGCGGCGGGGTGCAGCTCCTCCCGCTGATGCAAAGGCAGATTGTTCTGGGGTGTTTACCCGTTTAAGGATCAAAGGCAGCCCCACACTGCGGTGTGTTACATCAGAGCAGCGCTCACATGGCTATTTCGATGCCACAAAATCTGCTGGCGATCTCCCAGGGGCTCTCCCGTGCTCTGCGCCCAGCCCGGCCCACCTGGCCCTTTCGCTGTGTGGCCTCGATCGCTCGGGAGATCGCGGCGAGCGGCAGTCGTCCTCTCCCAAACACACAGCCTTGCCACCAACGGGGCATCTTTTGAGCCTGCACGTTGCAGAAGTCAGCCTGCCCAGCAGCATACCCAGCACGCTCTTCTTGCCAGTCCTGAGCCTTTTCTGGTCGTCTGGGGGAGCTTTTCTGGGAGGTGGAAGAGAAAGAACAAATATTTTTCACCTGGAATAACTACATGGGAGTGTGCACATGAGCTCTTGGAGGCTTGTTTAGCCGCTTGTGTTCACTGGGATAATAAATTCACCTCAAAACACACATCCCTTCATGTTGTGAGAAAGATGTTTTCCTACACTCACCACCCAGGGTGAGGCAAACCCATCGCTGGTGCGGTGGCACGGGCACAGCTCACCGCCTCTGGAGCTCAGAGGTGCTGCTGGAGTCCCCCCTGCCCCTGCCCGGGGGCAGAGGAGCAGCTCGGGAGCAATTGTCCAGGACCTGAATCACACTTTCCTGTTCCCGCAGAGCATCGCTGCAGCCCTGCGGCCCCTTTGAAGTCTCTCTGGTGTAACGACGTTTTGTGGGACACCTCCGCGCACGAGCCCAGGCTTTGTCATTCCGAGGGATTTTATTGGCTTCTCTTCTTAAAATAGTTCTTCTCCTTCCCCTTTTCCTTGACTTTGTCTCCCTGCATATCCTGTTCGATTTGTTGAGTCAAAGACTGAAAGCAAGCGCACGTGTCCTGCCTACCTGGCAAAGATGTTGCGTCCTTTGTCTTTCCAGTAGTACGTGGGTCCTTCATCTCCTTTCTGCCTTCCAGAGGTGCCACTGAGTTTTATTTAAATGCCTGGAGTTCAGCTGGACGGGTTCTGGCTCTCCTGGGCAGAATGCTGCTCCCCAGTTTCCATCCTATTACCGCTCTTATCTGCGGGCAGGACTCTCCCCTCTCCTGCGATCTCTAGAAGACGCCTGCGCATCCCTGCGGGGCGTCCCTGGCGCAGCGAGCCCGGGGCCTGCGAGGGTCACGCTCGGGCAGATCTTTGCAGGACTCGCAGGATCGTTTCCTTCCCCCGTCTCACGCAAACAGCAGTTAAGATAACTGTCAGAAAGGGTGCGAGTCCCACTAATTGCAGGCCTCGTGCACGGCACGGAGCCACCCCTTCAGCATCGCCCGCTGCTCCCGGAGCGGGGCTGGGGAGGGCGCGGGAGCGGGGCGCAGGCTGCGCCCGGAGCGGGGGACGGCGGCCGACCGCCTGCCTCGGGCACGGCACAGCCCGGGCTGGGGTCCTGGAAACTGTCACGAAATCCCAGCCCCTTACTGCAACCACAGCCCCTGCATCCACGGGCTACGGCAGGTGAACTCTCCTTGGCTTTCCCCACCTGCCATTCACGTTAATTCCCTTTCTTTAAGCACTGCCTGACAGTTTATGCCATGGTTAGATTTCCCTCCTGAGATATCGTAACAGTGCTCATTTTTCACTGCTCACGGGTGATTTCGTGTGTTACCCTAATTTGGACTTTGTGGCAGAAAATAACAAAAAAAAAAGGGTCATGAAAAGCATCATTTCAAAGTGATTAAATAAGTGATAAGAAAAAAGGATTCTCTATCATTTTGACTCTCAAAGTGTGGTGGAAATAGAGACAGAAGGCAGGATGAGCTGTGAGCTGTGTTTCAGAGTTAATGTTTCGACAGCTATTTTGGGTTTAAAGTTCTCCAGAAATCCCAGCATTTATTAATAAGCATTGTTACTCATTAACTCTCCTTTTTTTTTTTTTTTTTTTTTTTTTTT